AGTGGCATTTTTGTAAATATGCACATAAAAAGTGATATTTTTACAATTTCTCCAATTATCTATATATCAAGCTCCATTATGCATAAAAATATAAATTATATATAAACATTATTTTTAGTTGATATTATTTAAGGTTAATATGATATATTAAATTAATATTGTTTTAGTTTATAAAATAATATATTATTCAAAAATGAGATTTTTAAAATTAAAAGTTCTGTTTTATAATAGATAATATTATTTTTAATTGATTTTTCATAAAACTAATACAAGATATAAAATAGGACAATTGCAAAAATGCCACTTTTGGTGTGTACATTTGCAAGAATGCCACTTAGGAGTGTGTACATTTAAAGTCTAAATCTTAAAATTATAAACCCTAAAAAATGTTTTGATCCTTAAAATCTCTTAAATCCTCAAAACTAAAGAAATTTTTAAAAATGCCACTTTTCAAGTGTCACTTTATAAAAAATGCCACAATTTTGAAATTTTTACAAAAATACCACTTTTTCAAAATTATTTTTTCTTTATATTATTTATATTTGGGTTAATTATGTTCTATGAGGGTTTAGTTATGAGGGTTTAAGGGTCAAACATTTTTTAGTGTTTAGAATTTTAAGATATAGGGTTTAAAAATCTATAATTTGTGGTATTTTTGCAAATGTGCACATAAAAGTGGTATTTTTGCAATTTTCCCTCAAAACTAAACCCTAATACAATATACTTAACCCAAATATAAATGATATAATGATTTTTTTTTATAAAAAAAAGTGGCATTTTTGCAAAGATTTTGAGAATGTGGCAATTTTTAAAAGTGGCACTTTTAAAAAAATTTCTAAAATTATTACTATTTTAGTTAATACAATTTTATAATAACTAAAACAAATTGAGATTTTTATAATTAAAAAGTATATTTTAAAATGGAATATGATATGTTTAAAATAGTAATAAATTTTTAACATAAAATTTTAAATTAAATAATATTAAAAATACTAATATTTTATTGATATGATACTCATTGGATATTTCAACTTAAAATATATTAAAAAATAGTAGTATTATATTGGTGAGAGACTCTTAATGTATATCACCAGTGGAGATGCTCTACAGCCCTTGTTTCACGAGCTTGATTCTGAGAATGTTCTCATAGTTTATTTTAGAAAATTAGTTTTGAGAAAGTTTTTCTTCTTTTCACCTT